CCCTAAACCACCCTAAACCCTAAATCAGCCCCCTGATGCAGCCTGACAGCATCTCCAAGTCCGGAGCCATCCAGCCCGGGAGACACCTGGTGCTGAGTAGGGGATGGGGGAAATGGGGGAATGGGGACTACTACAAGGGCCCTTAAGGGTTTAGGGTTTAGNNCCCCCATTCCCTACTAAGCACCAGCCCGGGAGACACCTGGTGCTCCTCTCCACGACGATGACAAGCACGACGAAGCCTGGGATTGTGACATCGAGGCAGTTCGAGTCGAGAAGAATGCGTGGGGATTTGGAAGCCACACCCTAAACCCTGAAACCTTAAACCCCAAAGCCCTAAAGCCCTAAACCCTAAACCCTAAACCCTAAAACCCTAAACCCTAAAGCCCTAAACCCTAAACCCTAAACGAAGGCCCCAAGAACCCTAAGCCCTAGAAGTCCCAAAAACCGCGACGCCCCTAAACCTCCGAAAAATTCGATCCTAAACCCTAAACCCTAAACCCTAAACCCTAAACCCCTAAACCCTAAACCCTAAACCCTAATGCACTCCGAAAGGCCACAGCTCCATGCCAGTATCACCAGGGTCAAAGGCCAGTCCCAGGGCTCGGGTTTCACCAAGAGGCCCTGCATTTTTGGGCCTTTAGGTTTAGGGTTTAGGGTTCAGGGTTTAGGGTTTAGGGTTTAGGGAGCTCTTCTCTATGGGTTTTTTAGGGCCATTAGGGGGCTGGGGCTTTGGGGGCTTAGGGTCTAGGGTTCAGGACTTCTTTGGGGGTTGATGAGGCCTTTGGGACTTTCGGGTTCAAAGGGTTTTGGTGTCCCGGGTGTAGGGCCGGGCCTGCACGTAGGGGGCGCCAGCTTTATGTTCGAGTGTAAGAAGTTGGCTTCAGGGTCAGAAGTTCTACTTACGGCTGTGGGCTATTGGCGGTTGAGGATGTGTTGTTCGCGAGTTGGCTGAGTTCCGAGACTTCTATTGACAGGGTATCCCTGAACCTTCAACTGGGTCCTCGAAGGCGTCAGGACTCTCACAATCGGAAATCCGGATGCTTTCGGATCTCAGCTCAAGAAAACCCTAGGCCCTAGGCAGCCTCGGTGGAGTGCATGCGGCCGGTGTGGATGTAGAGGACAAGCTGCGGTCGGATTTGGACGGCAAACAACTTGAAGGCTCGGGCTGACATCTGCACTTCACAAGGGCACAAGCACTTCCTTCACAGGATCCGCGAGAAAGTCCAGAGCAGCCATCTATTCAAAAACAGTCGTAGGCATGCTAACACGCCGCGCGGCCGCGGCAAACAGAAACAGACACCGGGCACCACAGCAACATCCGAATCAGCAACAACAACCAGAACGTCAGACCGCAGCCATCAGCGCAACAAACGACCACAGCAGCAACACAGTAAACAACAGCAGCAAGCAACAGCACCACCACAACAACAATAAGAAGAAAAAGCACTACTAGTACAAACGCTGCTGCTGCTCCTACGACTACGAGTGCGACTGCTACTGAAGCAACTACTACAGCTACTCCTACTCCTCCTCCTTCTCCTCCTCTCCTGCTGCTGAACCCGGTGCTCGCAACCCAGATTTCCTACATGCCTGCCACCACCACGAAGGCAGCTGCATGCTGCTGCCTCGCCTGCTGATGCCGCTGCTGGCGTTCTTCATGCTGTTGCTGCTGCTCTTTCGGTTGCTGCATGTTTCTAGATGCGGTGATGTTGGGTAAAGTGTGTGCCCAGTGTCGAACAAAGTGCAACACGGCTTAGCACAGTTGTAGGAACATCGCGAAAGGCTATCACACGGCTGAAGCCAAAGCGTCAGCCGGCAATGGAAGCCGCCAAAGCTTGGAAACACAAAGCCCGGACGCGCAGACCACGCCTGCATCATGATGAAGCCCATGACCTGGGCTGGGCGGGATGGTTCTTAGCTTTGCATTCCCTGATGGCGCCTGGAGTTTATTTAGGCTTTAGGATATTCCGATCTGTGCTTGTTGGCGTCTGGACCAAGATTCCGGGCTCTGAGCCTAAGGCTTTGTGTCCACGTGGGTTCATGAAGGGTTTCAGATCAGGTTGCCAAGGGAGTTATGCTAAAGCCATCTACAACCTGAAACCTTCGCTGCAGTTGTTCAGGCCAGGTAAGGGCTGCTCCTACCCCTCCCACCACCACGACCAGTACTGCGTCAACAGCGACGACGACTTCGAAAGCAAAACCTGTTACAACCCTTGCTCAACCCTCTCTCTACATGTGTGTGTCTCTGTATATACATATGTATGTGTATGTATATATATATATATATATGTATATGTATATATACATATATATATATATACACACACATTTGTGTGTGTACAAAGATATACGCGAGGCAACCCCATCCAAGCCCTCTAG